AGGGACCCAGGACCCTTCTGCAGCCTTGAGCCCTGAGCTGGAGGGCTGCCCTCCAGGGCCATCAGGACCCCCCACCAGCCCAGGAGACAGCCACGGAGCATGCAGCCTTCTTCCAAAGATTGTATTTAAATATTTACTGCATGTAGAATATGCAAATCGGAGGAGTCTTGAAAGACAGCCCTGAATGGAGAGCTGTGTCCCCCCGAGATATGGAGGCACGGAGGCCCCCGGGAGGGGAGGGCCAGCCGCGGTACTTGGTGGGGTTCACCAGCTTTGTCCTTCTCACACCAAGTGTGGGCAGACCCCAGAGCCAAAAAAAGACAGGGCGGGATGGCTGGCGTGGCTGCTTCTCTCCGGCGGCCGGTTCTGTGCCGTGCGTCATCTCCTCTCCCTGCTGCTCTAGGGAGATGCTCACGGCTGTGCTTGCGTGTTTTCACCACCACCGTGTCGCGTGTGGAGGGAGGGTTCTCACTGCCCTGTGTGCTGGCAGGTGAGTTGAAGACACCCACGGGCCTGGGACCCTACAAGCGTGGGTCCTGCCCATGTCCTGCCCGTGTCACCTGCTCAGGACAGTTGTCACCATTCTGCACTCCCGTTGTGGCTTCTGGAAGACCCGGGTGTGTCCAAGCTGGAACTCTTCACAGGGTCCCGTTCGCCCCAGTTCCCGAATGCTACCAGCTGACTAACAGAGATAGTCACGCAACATTGTGCCGGCTTCTGTATCATGGAAGTCATCATCCTGTGACCGAGTGAGAAAAACGTATCCCGGAAACATCCAGAACCGGGGTGTGACGCATGGGGGACCGCAGGAGCCGTGGCTCACTTCCCGGGGCGGAGGGCCGGATGCAGTCCCACCTGCTAGAGGGCTGCCAGGGGAGGCCAGCGCAAGTCCCGCACCTAGAGCCAAATGAAGGGCGCAAATTCATCACGGAGGAATGAGCCGACAGAAGCCAATACCAGAGCGCTGTTCCCGATCGTCCAGCAAGGACCCTGCAGTCGAACGTAAGAGGTTTACGCAGCCTGAGGCACAGAAAGCGATCGCAGTCGTCGCACATTCTGAACTGAACATCGGCAGAAGCGCTTGCTGCTTTCTGCTGCAGAAGGAGCCGGGCAGGGACACCGGACTGGCAGCCCCGTCTCCCTCCCCCGTACAGATATGTTTCCTGGAAAATCAGATGTGTGTGCGGAAGGGAGGTGCACGGCACGCTGGTGGGCAAAGGGGGGCGGCATCTGCAGCTGGGAGTCTGGAACCCCAGCTGCAGGCTGCCGGACGTGGGAGGCTTTCTCGGTGTCTGCTCTCGAGATCTGGCTTCTGCAGACGGGGGAGCTTGCACGGACAAGACGGAGCTGCTCTGTGGGAATTCGCACTCGCGCGTGACGTCCTGCACCACGGACAACATGTGGCCACAGGTGGCTCCTCATCGACGTTGGGATGCTGGCGCCTGGTCTCTGCTCACTAGTCTGTAAGGGCTGAGGACCCGAGGACCGCCTTTCCCTTCCCTTCACGGTGTTCAGAAAAGGACATCATCACCGAGCAGCCGTGAGGAGGGAGGGGGCTGGACAAAGAAGCGCAGATCTTCCTCCACGAACGACAGGCTTTTGTTCTGATAAACCCATCTTTAGTTGGAAATATTGTAAATCAAAAATGCACTGAACACAGCAGCCTCCCGAACACTGAGCTTAGCCCGGCCTATGATACATGCGCTCAAAACACTTCATGAGCCTACACCGGGCAAAAGCCTTGGCTTTGGCCTATGATACACGCGCTCAAAACACTTCATGAGCCTACACCGGGCAAAAGCCTTGGCTACAAAGCTGATTGTATAATAAGCTCCAACTGTTTCTGTAAGTGACTGGATGCTGTACTGAGGGTGAGAAACAGAGAGCTGTGTGGGCGCAGGAGGGCGGTCGGGGCATCGGCTGTCCACCCTTGGGACCGTGCAACTGCCGGGTAGTGAGCTGCCCCCAGCATCCCGGGAGAGGACGGGCCACATGTCACCAGCCCGGGAAGAGATGCCGTTCAGAATTCCAAGTACAGTCCCTACTGCACGTGTATCCCTTTGTACTCAGTACTTGTACACTGTACTTGTACTATGAACTCAAAAAGTGCTAAGTGGAACCATGTTAAGGCGGGGACGTCTGTATAGGAAGAGGCAGGACATGCCCCCAGATGGAGATGAGAGACACGGTAGTGATCCTGGTTTTCCAGGGGCAACAGTGGGACCGTCGGATGACACGAGAGTTTGGACGTCGTCCTACAGGCGTCTTATATCCGGGTGAAAAATATGGGCTCTGTGTTTCTTTCTGTTTCTCTGCGGGAGTTCTCTGGAAGGACTGTAGGGGTTTGGGGATACCGGGAAAAGGCGAGCTGAGAGGCAGGGCATGTCCCCCTTGTCCGGGGCAGGGGTGTGGTGTGCAGGACGGGGTCTGGCACTGGGGCATGGAGGTGGTGGGAAGTGGCAGAGCCTGACCTCTTCTTGGATGTGTGGGGAGGGGGACTAAGGGGAGGGAAGCTGATGTAGGTTTGAGTCTGGTGACTCGGAAGATGACGGGGACTTGAATGGTCCTGCTACGCTGGGGGTGGGGAGCGTAGGAGCAGGCTAAGCCCAGGTTCTGTTTGGGATTTGACGCTTCTGTCAGGTGCATAAGAAACACCTGGGACCGTTAGGGAGGCCCGAGGAGACCCAGGGAGCTCTTGAAACTGCAGGGTACAGAGAGTTCGGGACTCCTAGAGGAGAAGGAAAATCGAGCTCCGGAGGGAATTCTGCTTCACCCCAGGTGTGTGACCCCAGCTCAGTCCTGGCACTGTCTGGAGGAAATGCAGATCCCATGGGGCCACACCCTCCCTTCTAAGCTAGCGACACCCCCAGGAGGCCACCCCCAATTCTGACCAGCTGGGTGTAGTTTGAGGGGTTCCGTGACCCCGCCTGGCTCAATGGTGCACCAGCAATGCCTCACGGGACCAGAAAGCCCCGTGCTTACAGTTAGTGGGGCTGCCAGCTACCTGGTCTGGGGGAGACCCAGACTCCCATGTCCTCTTCCCGTGAAGCCCCAGAGCTTCGTAGGCCTGACGCTCCAACCTTCAAGTCAGGTGATTTCCTTTGTTTCTTGAACTTGGCTCCATGGACCAACTTTACCTTCCGGGACATCACAGACCGAGTCTGTGTCCTGGGCTCCATCACCTTCCTTCAGCTGTCAGAAGGCATCTGCACACCGCCTCTTGCCCCGTGTGTGTGTATTCCAAGATGCATCCACTTTCCTAAAAGAATCCAGTTCCCGAGCCCTCATCAGCTCCCCACACGTCCTGGACGTTTTCTCATCTGGAAAGTTCTCATTGCCCTGATCAGCCAAGAGCCACGCACAGCACTGCATGTGCACTTCGGCTGTTTCCAGATCCCAGCGGGACACTTGCCACATTTGCGCAGGATCCCGCGGTTCTGCAAGCACTGTCGACAGTCTGTGAGCTTCTGCACAACCCCCGACAGAGCTGGAGGCCGCAGGTCACGTGCTGGGTTGCCCAGGAGGCTGCCCACGACTCTTCTGCCCAGGAAGAGTGGGAGCTGGTGTGTGCTGGAGGGAGTGGGGTGGAGGTCAAGCTCAAGGGAAGAAAGACGGATGGAGAAAAACAGATGGGGGTTACCGGTCCAGACAGGCATTAGACCTATCTAGACCTAGACCGTGGGTCTAGGTCTAGACCGTGCAACTCGGCTCAGGACAAATGTGTAAATCATGCCCAGGGTCTCGGGAAGCACCTGACCAGCTTTCCGCACACATGGCGGGAGCCCGCTGCGCACACACGGCGGGAGCCCGCTGCGCACACACGGCGGGAGCCCGCTGCAGAACGTCAGGACAATATTAATTTAAAGCCAAAGAAATTGTTCTGGAAAACTGGACAGTGGAGTTGCTGAACCTATGGCTTCCCCTGTCCTTTCCGCTGGGAGGGAACTTGCATCATTGAGTGGCGGAGCCCACGATGGAAGGGGAGAGACTGGCAGAGCGGGAGAGGGGAGCAGCTGGTACAAGGCTGGGAGACTAGGCTCTCGGGGGCAGGATGGTGGGGGTTTGGAGGACTCTGCTCTGTTCCGGGCCCATGTCTCTTCCTTTATTTATGTTCACTCATACCCCGCGGCGCTTCTGTAAAGATTTAATATGACTTCGTAAGAGAAAGCAAACCACAGGCGGCAGGCTGCGCTGAGTGTAGGCGGAAGGAGAACGCAAGAGTGGCCCATGGCATGGGGCTAGGATGTGCTCCCGTGCGGCCACACACTCAGCTCTGCGATAGCCCATCTGAGAAGGCAGCGCCGGCCGGTCTGATGTCTCACGATAACCCAAAACAAGCCGTCTTTTGCCCGGGGTTATGGAGTCTGTGGTGCAGCGTAGACCAGCCTTGGCTGGGGGTGGGGGCGGGGGGCACGGCATGCCGTGTGAGGTCATGCACCGCCTTTGTGACAAAACCGTGATAATTGATAAGTTGGTGGCGATTTGTCCGTCCTGGCTGATGTCCTACGTGGAGGCACAGCCCCCGAGAGGCAAGCAGAGCTAATGCGGACAGGCAGCCCCACACACCAGGCCGGACCATCGAGATGGTTCACTCTCCTATCGGCCTAGACTTGGCTTTCGTGAGAGGGGGTGTTTGCGTTTTGCCCCGCGTTCCATCCAATGATCCCCTCGCATACTGTTGTGTCGTCTTGCTGAGTCTGTGTCTCCCTGAAAAACATGGCTAATGACGGACTTATGCCCAGGGATGCTTCTGAGGATCAGATCATAAAAGGTCAGACCAGCACCTGCTTCTCCAGGCACGTGCGAGACATGCCGGCTGTTCCTGTCACAAGCCTGCCAGGTGCCCACACAAGCCGGCGGAGAAGAACGGTTGCGTGTGCCCTTCTCGGCGCCTGCGGGCCTGGACAGAGCAGCCCAGAGCCACCATGCGGGCACAGCGCGTCCACCTGCCATGCCGGGAGAGGGCTCGGGAGCTCACATCTCGCATTTGTCTTCCGCAGGAATAACGCTGTACAGCCAGCCGTACGGAGGGGCCTTGCTGAACGAGGACAAGATGTGAGTTGCAGGACTTCTGGGTGACGGCGGCCCTGTTGATGGGACAGAGTCTTTGGGTTGTTTAGGGGGGATTGGGATCGCCTCCTGCCTTTGCCCCGAGTGATGCTGGTCTTTGCCAAGTGTGAAGACCGGATGGTTGCAGAATGCGCCTTGACTGAGCCCATCAAGCGCTCCACTGTGTTTCTAAGTAAACTTGTTCTATGGGCATGATCTCCCTGGAGCTCAGGGACCCCACGTCTTCCAGATGCTTTCTGGGGACACAGTCTTCTTTGAAGATTTTATTTATTAAGAGAGAAAGAGAGAGAGAGAGAGAGAGAGAGAGAGAAAGAGCGTAAACATGGATGGGGGGAGGGGTAGAGGGAGAGAGCATCTCAAGCTGACTCCATGCTGAGCTTAGAGCCCGATATGGGGCTCGATTCCAGGACCTCAAGGTCCTGACCTGAGCTGAAGGCAGATGCTTAACTGACTGAGCCACCCAGGTGCCCCTAGAGAATTTTTTATTTAATTTTGTTTGTTTGAGAGAGAGAATGAGAGAGAAAGAGAGCATGAGAAGGGAGAGGGGGGAGGATCAGACTCCCTGCTGAGCAGGAGCACGACGCAGAACTCAGTCCTGGGACTCCAAGGTCATGACCGAGCTGAAGGCAGTTGTTTAACCAACTGAGCCACCCAGGTGTCCCTAGAGAATTTTTAAAAGTAATCTCTGTACTCCATGTGGGGCTTGAACTCACAACCCTGGGATCAAAAGTCACTCACCCCACTGACAGCCTACAGAAGGTAGGGCGCTTCTCCCTGTCTCCTCCTTTTCCCACCTCCCTTCCCTGTTGCACTTATGACAAAGCTTTGGTCAGACATCTATAGTAGGCAGAATTAGTGCAGTGCACCCTTGAACAACTGGGTTGGGGCGCTGACCCTCTGCACAGTAGAAAATCTGTGTATAACTTGACCCCCCCACCCCCGCCAGGACCTACCAAACTGAGCTGGAGATGCAGATCTGCTCGACAGGTGTCTTCTCTCCGAGGTGTTAGGGAGGCAGGAAGCACGAGGTGGTGTCACCTCCCCTCCCTGCACTCATTCTCAGCTTTCCCCTTTAGCGGTCTCTGACACCGGCCACAACTCTGGCCGTGGGCTCACTGACGAAAAGAGGGTGCCAGGCAGTGGACGGTTGGTGACGAGCTCCTTCTCTCCGGGGCCAGCTGAGACGTTGTGTGTGCGCTGGGCACTGCTAAGGAGGGGTAATGGGGTAGTGTTCTGATGAAGACGGGACCAGGAAGGTGCACAGTGTATGTCATTACAATTATGGGCGCACCTCCCTCCGGTACGAAATCATTCCGATATTTGGAAAGAGGAAATTCAAAGATGGGCCAGCCACCTGCAGAGCTGCAGCTAATGCCCCTTCCAAGTCCTGACAGGTGTCCCAACGTGGGTGGGGCCTGGATGTGGGCAGGGGTCCCATGTCACGGGGGTTCCCACAAGGGTGGGGGTCCGGACGTGGGTGGAGGCCGCAGCTCACTATGGACCCCACGCTGAAGATGTCTTTCATTTTAACTGGGGAGTCAGGCTCACTGGTCAAGAGTAAACCTTGGAGAAGTTTCTAGAAGCCGGCAGAGCTAATCCACGCCTGAAAAGTCGCTGACAGCATTTAGGACCGACTCCATGAGCTTGTCAGTGCGTCCTGCCCATCATCAGCTCCCCGCGAAGGGTTTCCTCCGCTCTTCTCCTCGTCGCCGGTTGTTCCCGAGGGAAAGAGGATCCGTGTCCTTCGTGTGCCACCTGACGTGCTATTCCGTCTTGCCCGCAGCCTGGAGAGCATCCGCCAGTGTGGCGTGGCACTCTGCATCGTGCTGGGGTTCTCCATCCTGTCTGCGTCCATCGGGAGCTCCGTGGTGAGGGACAGGGTGATCGGAGCCAAGAGGCTGCAGCACCTCAGCGGCCTGGGCTACAGGACGTACTGGCTCACCAACTTCCTGTATGACATGGTAGGACTGGGGGACGACATCCCCGGGGGCCTGCGTGCCGCTGATCTGTGTGTGTGAGTGTGCATGTGTGCGTGTAGGAAGCGGCCGCCTCCCCCTGTCCCCAGGAGAAGGTGTCACTTCACTGCTAAGAGCTGGTTTGGCTGAGTCTCTGTCTATCATTAAGGTTGGCTTTGTAAGACAAAGGACGGACCAGCCGTGTCCTGGAGCTCTGGGAGCTCAGGGACCTGCCCAGACATGCAGAGTTTCTTGTTGGGAGGGTGACATGGTAATCACATTAACTACACTCTGTTCAAGGGGGTGGGACGGGAGAGGGTGAAGGCCCTCCGAGCTGACCTGCCGGCCCCCTCCAGGGTGACCACAGCCTGGCCCGTTTTGGTGTCCTGTGCCACCACACCTTCTGTGTTATGGCATGCAGGGACCCCAGCTTGCCCTGGGGAGGGAAAAAGGGGGCTTCAAGATAGTAAGAGGTGGGGGCCGGTTTCCAGGACCCCCAGGTAGGGGGGACCCAAAGTCTCCCAGGCCCCAGTCAGTCTCCCTCTTTTCAGCAGTCCAGACTTTATGATCCTTTCGTCCCTGTGATTCCTGCCTGAGGTTATAAGGGGGGGAGGATTATCTCTTTCCCGGTTTACCGTGTTTTTATCTTCATCCAATCATTTCTGGATGACCGCTCATTTAAGGGATATGTTGAGGGTCTGCTCGGGGCAAGGTGTGTCCTCGGTGCAGGGACTAAAACAGGGAGCAAGGCAGAGACGTTCTCTGCCCCTGGAACTTTTATTCTCACAAGAGGAAGCAGAACTTAAACCAGGGGTTCAGGAAAGGGTTCCCATGGGGTCTACATGAGGAGGGGCTCCGAGAGAGGCCCCAGGAGGAGAGTGGCGGGGGTGTGGGAGCCCTGGGGAGGGCACCCAGGGAGGGTCGGAAGGCAGGTGAGCCGCCTGTCCTTGAGTGCAGGTGTGCCCAGAGGCCTCGACTCCTGGAAGATGGGAAGGTGGTCAGAGTGGTTTCCCAGTGCGGCCCTCAGGACACATGGCCGATGGGCAGCTTGAACTGCTGATGTCTGTCCCTCCCAGTGCCGGGGGCTGGACGTCCCAGATCCAGGTGTGGCGGAACCACTTCCTCCCCAGGCCTCTGCCCTGGGCGTGTGGCTGGCGTGTCTTCCCCATGTCCTCATGTGTGTCTGTGTCCTGCTGTCCTCATCTCACAAGGACACCGGTCCTGTTGAATCAGGGCTGCTCTGGGGACCTCGTTTACCCTCCCTGACCCCTTCATGGGTGCATCTTCAGACCCAGTTCCATTCTGAGGTCTGGGGGTTCAGCGGATGCGTGGGGGAGAGGGGACACAGCCCAGCCAGAGCTGGGCCTCCACTGCTGCCCGCATGTCATCTGCAAACTAGCCGAAGTGGACGTGGGACGCCATCCCCTCTTCCTTGTCCCCCAGGTCTTCTACTTGGTTTCTGTGAGCCTGTGTGTCACCATCATCGTCGCCTTCCAGTTAACAGCGTTTACTTTCCGCGAGAACTTGGCAGCCACGGCCCTCCTGCTGGTGCTTTTCGGGTATGTGATGAGAAACACGGCTGCAGAATTACGGTTTGTTTTCTGGAAGAGAACCCCCCCCCGGGATGGCTTTGAACCTGCCGCCGGCTGCGTGATTTTCTCTGTCTGCAAGCAATTCTGTTGCTTGTGCGGGAGCTGTGCCGCAGACCCGCCGGAGCAGGTGGAGAGCGCCCTGCCGAGGAGGGCGGGTGCTGGGGTGGGGATGGAGGTGGTGCGGGCTGGTGCCTCGAGGAATCATCCCCCCCACCCCGCCCCACCCCGGGTACGGGTGGGGACAAGCGGGTTCTTGGCTGTCCTCAGGCCGGCTTCATCTGGAGCTCAAACACGCAATCCGGTTAGCTCCAAAATTGCCTTTCAGAAGAGAGTCTACGGCCATACCACCCTGAATGCGCCCGATCTTGTCTGATCTCGGAAGCTAAGCAGGGTCGGGCCTGGTTAGTACTTGGATGGGAGAAGAGAGTCCTGTGTCTGGCGTGTCTCTGCTCTCCTGTGACCGTGGTGGTCCAGAAGGCTGCCGCCGTTGCTGCTGTCGTTTTTCTCCGGGGAAAAAACAGCAAAGGCAGAGAAGTCACTGTGCACACTTCTCATTTTCAAACACACTGAGCAGGCTCATTGCCGGTGGTCCCCAAATTGGTATCAAAAATTGTCTCTATCTAGGTATCAAAATATGGTATCAAAACTTGGTATCAAAAATATGTCTCTATCTAGGCTGAGCATGTGAGAGAGTCTTGCCATGAGGAGAGAAGATAATGAACTACTTATTTATTAAAATGTGAGGTGGATAATTTTTGAAAACCCACGTTCTGCTTTATTGAGGCCAAAGGTGACAAGTAAAATGATTTTTACGCAGCTCCCGGTGATGTCAGTGACCACAAACCTTTAACTAGGGAACAGGATTTAATACGAAGGAGCATGTGTTATTATTAGATGGCTGGCTGGATGGATGGAGGCGGGAGAGACAGAAAGACAGGAGAGACAGACAGAACTTTATAGGAACCGTGATATGGCCACTCACGAGCTCTGTGGCCTTGGGAAGAGTCATGACCCCTCCAGACCCCACCGTGTTCTGTGTGGAGTTTCAATTCTGTTCAGTTCGGTAGTTCGTACAAACCTCACAGTGCGTGGTGGCAGGTCCCGTTTAATTGCTCTCGGCCACATTGTTGCTACGAGAGCGGAGCTGCTGTGCAGAGGATGTTAACATCTGAAGCTACGAACGCTTGTGTTTGCACCAGTCTATTGTGCTCAGTTGGAAATTTAGGTTCCCGGGTATAAAGGGCCGCGTGCGTGGGTTCCTGCTTCTCAGGAAACGGTCTGGTTTCCGTGCGTGGATCCAGCTGAGTGGACGGCGTCGTGGCTGCTGACGGTGTCGTTGAACAGACTCGCTGGACCCCACCCGTGAACTTACGAAAGCACAGCTCGTCGAGTCTGGCGGAAGAGAGCAGACAAAATCTAACAGACAGCCACGTGTCTTGAGGAGGGGTCCTGAAGCTTCTTTGGCTCGTGAGCACCTTTGGGAGTCTGGGTGGAGCCCAGACTTCTGGCCACGTGTGCGGCCACAGCATTTTCCGAAGAAATCGGGAGATTCACAGATTGTATCTCCAGGCAAGAATCCTTCCCTGAGAGGGACCGAGGGGTCTGAAAACAGCTGATGGTGCCACAGTGTCCCAGTGAAGAAGGGCCCCGGCGTGGCCGGCTGGAATCACAGAGCCACACCCCAGGGACCACGTGTTATTCCCATTTACACGGCGGTTCTCCCCTCACTGGGCCCTGCCCCGCACCCGACACTGCACGGGCATTGCTGTCCCCTGTGCCCAGGGAGGCAGGTACATCTGCTGGCCCCTCCGTCCCCAAGGAGGGAGGTGCAGGGACCCCGAGGACAGTCTCAGGAAGGCAGCCCCGAGAGTGCCCTGCAACCTGAAGACCTTACAGGCATGAAAAGGGACTTGTAATTAAATGGGATTTGGAATCCAAAGAAATTAGGGTTTGGACTAAGGCGTAGAGTCTGAAAGAGACGATAGGGAAAAAAAGGCCCAGTGACAATTGTCTTTTTCTTCTTCTTAATATTCCTGCTCTCTCTAGCCAAGAAAACTTGATATTTTAGCTAGAAAGTGAGGAGAATTAGCATCAAAAAGAGGAAAGGAATGTCAGAAAGAAAAGAGAAGCTAGCTTCTATAAAACATTGAAACTTTCAGAATATATAGGTGATTATTTGGTGCTTAAGGCTTGTGAACATGAGGCTGCAGGGTCCTGATCCCGGTCCTAGAAAATTCACTCACTGGGGGAGGGGCCAGCTTTCAAAAGGAGGAAAACCACACAAATTCTGGAAGGACTGTGAACAGCATGCCACTAGCCAGTAAGTAAGTAAATACTACATTGCATTTTAATGAAAGTAGGAGTGTTAGAAACCATTGTAGATATCACTAAAAGATAAATTATGCCCTAGGAGCACATTTTTTTTTCTTTTTTAAAGATTTTATGTATTTGAGAAAGAGAGAGAGGGAGAGAGCATGAGCCGGGGGAGGGGCAAAGAAAGAATCAGGTTCCCTGCTGAGCGTGGAGCCCGATGTGGGACTCGATCCCAGGACCCTGAGATGAGCACCTGAGCTGAAACCAAAAGTCGGATGCTGACTGGACTAAGCCATCCAAGTCCCCCCCCCGCCCCTGCCCCATTTAGCTTGTTACTTAAAAAAAAAGGAAAAAAAAAAAAAAAAAGGGGGCATGGAGCTGTCAATATGTTTTTTTGAAAAAAATATTTGGAAAGGGGGAAAAAGAAAAAAAAGGGAAAAAAAAAAAAAAAAGACGGCTGCGCAGCTGGCAGAGAACCACGCACGAAGACTGTTCCCTGATGCGGCAGGTGTGGCTGGTGGCAGTTGTGGTCAGTCTGTGGCCCTGTTGCTGATGCCTCCTTTGCTTAAAGACGTAACGCTCCGATCCACTGGTCCAGCGTCTCAGTGACAGGACCTGGCGTGGGAGCTCTCCCTACTGAGTAACAAAACACTGACCATGAACAGAGTGCAACGGGGCTGGACGAGTCTTCTTTGGTGGGTCCCTCTCATTCCGACGGGGGATGGGGCTTCCGAGTGGGACAGGGAGCTGCCCCGTTCCTGGACGGCCCTCCTGACTGTGAGTCAACATCCCGCTGTGCTTGGTGCCCGCCTCACCGCATCACACGCCTGGTCGGGTGTCCCTACCCCCAAACGCCCGAGCCCCCCATCATGAGGTTTAAACGAGAGACTTGGTTGGACACTGTTTCCTGTACGGAAGCAAGGGACACCTGGTCTTTTGTGCTGGAGACCCAAGAGGACCGCGGTGTTTACCGTCAGCTACCTCAAGAGCTGTCGGATAGAAAGAAAAGTGACTGGTCACAGACTGCTCCAGAAGATAGAGTTAGGATCGGTGGTGTTAAGAGATTTTGGGGTCACTCTGAGAGGGCGTTTTATGGCAGGGTTAGCTGCCCCAAGACCTGGTCGCAGACTGCTGGCGTTTACAGTTCTGTTCCAAGGACCACATGGAATGCTTCAGCTGGTTGTCCCGGCTGGTGCGTGAGGGAGGACGCACTTGACTTCTGCCCCAGAAGGGACAGTAAGGGCGTGGGGTCCGATTTCTCTCTGCAGGGCTTTTCTTCAGGTGCGGGCTGGACCCTTCAAAGCACAAAGGAGTCCTGACCTACTTCTTGGGTAATTAATTTATTTAAAGACAATTGGATTATTGGGTACAGTGGGTATTTAAGAATAATTGCTTCCAAGCCCCCCCACCTGTCTGCTCTAAAATAATTCCCATCGTGCCACGTTACCAGGCAGATTACTATTGAGGCAAGTTTCCAAAACAGCGTACGATTTTATGTGCGATAGTTCTACGTACGGTGTTTTCTGAACTCTGAGGATGAATCCTTCGACTCAAGGACTCATTCTGATGCACGGGTTTGGATAGAAGAAGGAACAACAGGAAGACAACAGCCCACCTCGAGGGCCAGGCCTGTCTCCCTCCGCTTGGAGTCCGGTTCGTTGCGGAACCAGCGAACACAGAAGGGAACCCGGGCTTTCAGGAGCAGCTGCCAAGTCACGCTAGGAGCACAGTGGCATGTCTGCCTCCAGGCTGCACGTGGGGACGTGGGACGAAGGCTGCAGTACACAGTGATTGACTTGTCCCCTGATGTTTGGAGCCATGACTCTCGGACCCGCGCCCTTGAATGGGGCGCATGCTTCTGTGACAGAGGTGAGCGAGGGATGCAGCTCAGCTCCCGGCTGTGGAGGAAGAGAGATGTGCGGGTGTGTTTCTTAGAACCCAGTGCCATCGGCCATGGGTATGTGCTGCCTTGAAGGTCAGGCCCTTTGCTCCCCGGCTTTGCAGCCACACGTAAATGAATCCCGTGGTCAGCTTCGCCTGCCGTCAGTGGCAGGGCCTCCCTCTGGGTCTCCTGACTTTGTGAACCCTTCGCCATCTGTATCATGGGACCACACACCTGCCTCCCAGGCTGCCGGAGAGGGAGGAGGATGCGGGCTCATCGTGGAGGCCCACAGCATAGTGCCCAACACTGAGAGGACACTGAGAAGGAAGCTTTCCAGTTTTACCTCCAAGCCTTCTTTTTTCTTTTTTTAAAAAAATTATTTATTTGAGAGAGAAACAGAGAGAGAGAGAGGAAGTATGGAGGAAGGGCAGAAGGACAGAAGGAATCTCAAGCAGACTCCTCGCTGAGAGCAGAGCCTGACCCAGGGCTCCATCCCATGACCCCGAGGTCATGACCTGAGCCTGATTCAAGAGTTGGACGCTTAACCAACTGAGCCACCCAGGAGCCCTTCATGCCTTCTTTTTCTACAGGGTCTGCTGATTTCCCTTCTTGACAGCTTTTGATTCTCCCTTCCACACCTAGGAGCTCTGTGCAAAGAAGCAAAGAAGCCAGAGCCAGACTTGCCCCTTGGGGGAGGGGCGGCGGGGACGGGGGACGTCCACGACTTCCTCCAGCTCACAGAGCTCCAGGAGCAGGTGCCCATGTGGCCTGGCGGTTGACTCCCCCCCCCCCAGGGCTGCTGTCATGGTCCCCAGGGCTCCCTGGAGCTCCCCAAATGTGCTCTGTGTTCAGGAAACACCGTGGGATTTGTTGTAAAAGTGGGATTCTGTTCCCTGTGGGAGGGAAGAGGACATGGCCAGCGAGACTCATCTGTGCTTCCGTCCTGGTCCCACGACACGTGACAGGAAGACAAACGTGACTCTTCCCTTTACTCCGTAGATACGCAACTCTCCCGTGGATGTATCTGATGTCCCGGATCTTCCCCAGTTCGGATGTGGCTTTTATCTCCTACGTGTCCCTGAACTTCATCTTCGGGCTCTGCACCATGCTGATGACCACCACGCCCCGGCTGCTGGCCATCGTCTCCAAGGCTCAGGTCGGTGCGCTCCAGCCACGCCTCTCAGGGCAGCGGGGAATGCTGCCTCGTGCCCCTTCTGCTACTCCTCTGGCTGGAGGTAAAGGGAAATGGGCCGCTGTCCATGGTCTCTAGCCCCCAGATAGAGAAGCCGCCCCTGAGGCATGCAAACACCGGGACCGTTATGAGAGCTGAGCTCGGACCTCCCTGTTTGTTAATGAGTTCCTGATCCGCGTTCGGAAGGAAGGATGGGTATCCAGGTGTCACAGGAGTAAGGGTCCGATCCCTCTGGGATCCCGTGCCACGGGGTGGGATTGGCTGCTGGGGCCGAGCACACTCTCCGACCCCTGGAGCATACCTAGTTCTGCTACGTTCAGAGTGTCGAAGCAGAGGGTTGCCCCGAGAAGGGGCTCCGTCTCCCTCAGGGAGGGTGAGGGAACCCCTCTCCAGGAACCCTGTCTCCAACCGGTGTTCACACTGGCGAGTCACTTTTGGGATGCGACCCCTAGCATGCATCTCGGTCAAGGTGAATCCAGCTGTGTCTCTGCCATGCTCCTGCCACCTCCCTCCTCCCCCTGAAGCCCACCTGGGTCTTGTCTGTTTTAATCCCTCCTCAGCCTCCCCTGCGCTACCTCTGGGGACAGACGTTGGAGTTTTGCGTTGCCCTCTGTTCTCTGTTTTCTGTCCTTTTCATCCCTGCTCTCTGCTCTCAGCTCAGACCACTGTCCCTTCTGACTCTCTGCTGTCTGCCTGGACCCCAGTCCCTCTGTCGTCCCGGTGTTTGATTGACTCACGGGTGGAGAAGGCGGCCTGAGAAAGGGCCAGCCCTCCCAGTTCCGGAGGCTGTGCTCCTGGCCTGTCACAGATGAGTCGGGGATGGATGGATGCCTGCTCATGGGGCAGGCTCTCCTGCTCTGCCCTGGGCTTGTGCAGACCGTCCACACTCCAGCGTGGCTCATACTGTTTTGGGGGGTCGTGCCCCACATTGGCATGGAGACACTAAGTACGGAAACATTCGTTATGCATTCAGGGAAGGAAGCAATGTGTTCTGGTGATTTTTGCAGAGCTAGTGTTGTCACTAGTCTGTATTAACGTGTCTGGCTGATAAGTAGGAAACCCCGATACAGTTACGGGGCGTTAGCTTGAGGACACAGAGGTAGCTGAGATAGCGCACGTGTTCCCTCCCAGCCCACGGATCCCCGAGAGGGCGTGGGTCACTCAGGGTGTCCCTGTGACCTAAGCTGAGAAGGGGGGCAGACTCAGGGCAGATGGACACTCCCTCCAGTGGGAAAGATGAAGCTCGAGGGGACAGGATCACAGGACAAAAGCAAAAGGAGGGATCACCGGGACCCAGAGAGGAGACCAGCCCGGAGGCTCTGTGCCTATGACAGTCCAGCTCTGACGTCAGCGTCCAGTCACAAAATGGGTCAGGCTCAGTTGTTCACATATAAAAGAGACACTTTATCATTTGCTAAGGTCTCTCTTTTCCTTTGCCCTTTATTTTGGTGTTGTTTGCTGAAGAAACCCAGTGTCACATTGGGTAATTTCAGATCTTCACGCATAAGCTGTGGAGCGATCAATATATTCTTATGGAATCAGTCAAGGGTGACTAGGTTCTCAGATCAGCTCTGTGAGCCAGGAGACCAGGATTAACCGTTGTTTGTCCAAACTGTGCTGCTGATCAGGGCAATTCAATTTTTAATTTTTACCAAATCACAATTTTTTAAGCTAACGTCTATAGAAAATGCATTTTGGGTTCTAACCCACCATCTCGAACACCTTCGTTTCCCAGCGGTGAGGATCTCCCGGTTGGCGGGGGTGGGGTGGGGGGTGGGTGGGTGGAGGGATGTCCGGAGGGCAGTAGCTCATAGTTCCAGTAATTTCTTTTTTTGAATACTTCATCAGTTCGCAGTTATCCTAGATTGGACATTTATGGATTGTCATTCCCTGAATTTGTGCAGTCACGTCCTGTCGTATGTTACCTTTGTGTTCAAGTGTCGTGGACGGCTGTGTTCTCTTTGCTGTAGGGACAGCTGTGATTCCCTTAAGGCAGATTTAAAGTCCTCGTCATGATTATGTCTGTTCCTTAGGTCCTAGCTCCGGAGTCGGAAGCTGTCCTGCTCTACTGTTGCTACATTATAACCAGGGAGACAAGCTGCTGTCACGTGGCACATTATTTGACTCAGGGATGGACACAGTTTTGTAAAAACTGGGATTGTTAAGCCCCTCTAAGACTGGTCGCAATCCTTAAAGATGGTAGACAGTCAGGAGAAGAGCCAAGGGAAGAATCAGAGGAAGTGTATGTGTTTTCTCTGTGTCTGTACGCCAAAGACAATAGGCCATAATGGAACAATTCATACCCCTTTGTTGAATCTTTGTCGTTCCCAAATCACGTTATTTAAGACTGTATTTACATAAGTCAAGCTGTCCCTTTGCATCATAAGGGAAAACTGGATGTTGTCTAGGATGAAATATGTAATTGATGATTTTGTAAGTTTTTCCTTAGTATTTGTGATACGGCCCATCCCGTGTCGTGTTTTATAATGTATTCCTCATGATGCCTTTGCTCCCTTATAAATTCATCCCCAGATGAATTTGTGAGTTTGAACAGGGAGAGAATGACTGTAAAACAGCGAGCCTCATTATTTTTTTAAAGATTTTATTTATTTATTTGACAGAGTGAGTGAGTGAGAGAGAGCACCAGCAGGGGGAAAGGTAGAGGAAGAGGGACAAGCAGGCTCCCCGCTGAGCAGGGAGCCTGATGTGGGGCTCCATCCCAGGACGCTGGGATCATGACCTGAGCCGAAGGCAGACACTTAACTGACTGAGCCCCCGGGCGCCCTGAGCCTAATTCTTGATGATTATTTCTATAGCCTTGCTAAACAGCTGCGGTTCCACGCTTAGCTACACCCTGTCTAAAAGTCAGCTCAAAGGACCCCTTTGCCATGAATTTTCTCCACAGGCTGTGTTCCTGGGTGGAGGGATTTTCTTCCTTGGGCCAGAAAGGTCGGGGTTGCGTCCCGGTCCTACCACTAAGTGACCTGAACACATTCATCAGCTGCTTGAGGCTGTTTCTTGCGTGGTCACTGGGTTCACCTCTCAACACTCTGCATGTTTATTGAGGGAGTAAAATGCAGTGATGCTCCATCAAGGTGCAAACACATGATACTTTCCAGAAAGTTCTGGCAGACAATGATTAACACGGGAACAATTCTCATCTCCTTGTAAAATAAAACGAACGTTCCTAAAACACCAGATGGTTAAAAAAATAAAAAGTAAATTCTTTGGGAGATGTTGAATTTTTATATACATTTTTATATACATATATACATTAAATTAAAAATGATATTGCCCGAACTTATGCAGGCTGTCCTGTATATGTTTATTTTCTGTGCATGCTCTCTCTTTCCATCTGCTCCCTTATTCATCCTTGTCCTTGTCATAACACTCGATTGTAACGTGTTTCACAGAGACAGCTACATTCATTCAACATTTACTATACGCTAATTTCGTACTAGGTGCCTTCCATGGTATTTACCTGCTCTCAGTGACAGCTCCCAGTACTGTCTGCTTGTTCGAACACTCCTTGGCCCGTGACTCGGGATGTTCCCTGTATGTCTTACCTGGGCTGTTGTAACACCTGCCACAGGCTGGGGGGCCTGACAAGCTGATGCTGTGCCTCACCCTGAGGCTGGGCATCTGAGATCTCAAGGTGCCTGTAGAATCAATTCCTCGGTAGGACCTGCTTCCTGGCTTGGAGGTGACTTCCAAGTCATCTCCAAGCAGCAGAGAGGGCAAGCTCTCGTGTCTCTAACTCTTCCCAGGAGGGCATTGATCCCATCGTGGGGACTCTGTTTTCCTGACCTCAATCATCTCCCTAAGGTCCCATCTCCGAATGCCATCGCACTGGGGGTCAGGGCTGCACCTATGAATTTGGGAGCCATAAACATTCAGTCCGTAACATTTCACTACGCACTACCCTCCAATGCGTGTCCTTCTTGCAGGAAAATACATGCAGTCCATCCCAACAGCCCCTAAAGTCTTGCCTTATCCTAGCTTCAACTTGAAAGTCTTTACCAAGGTCTCACCTGAATCAGGTGCGGGAGAGGCTTTGGGTATGATGCGTCATGAGACAGAACTCCCCTCCACGTGTGAGCCTGGGAAGCGTACTAGTTATGTGTTTCCAAAGCACAGCACAGCTGTGGGACAGGCTCGGGATAGGCATGCCTGGCCAATAGCGGAACTCGGAAGGAAGAAGCAGATGAGGGCTCCCAAGCACGTCCACCACCCAGAAGGCAAAACCACCAGACCTGAGTCTTGACACCGATCCTCTTAGGTTTGATGGCCGTCTGTGCCTGTCACTGAGTGGCTGTGACAGGGGGGACCTGGATCCAGGACCAGCAAGGGGAGAGAGATTTCAGGTTGATTTATTTCCCCTTTCTCTCACTGTACAGAATTTACAGAACATCTATGACGTCCTCAAGTGGGTCTTCACCATTTTCCCTCAGTTCTGCCTGGGGCAGGGACTCATAGAACTCTGTTACAATCAGATCAAGTATGACCTGACCCACAACTTCGGCATCGATTCCTACATGAGCCCCTTTGAGATGAACTTCCTGGGCTGGATCTTCGTACAGCTGGCCTTGCAAGGCACGGTGCTTCTCCTCCTGAGGATTGTGCTGCACTGGGACCTTCTGCAGCGGCCATGGTATGTCCTGCGGGGCTCAGCCTGGGAGGGCACCAGCTGCTCCACAAAGAGCGAGAGAAAGCTCCATCCCAGCGAGCACAAGACAACAAATATGTCCGATCTGTGCGATACGCCCTGCTGATGAGTGATGATTTTGATTCTATGTTGCTTTTTCTTCTCTTTCCTTTCTTTTTTTCTTTTTTCATTGACGTGAGTCACCCACTCTGGGAAGGAGAATATCAAAAAAGATGAAGTGCCGACCTGTGATATAATTGTTCTAATTATTAATTTTCCCCTGTGATTAAATTCCCTCTTACTTTGATTGTAACGTCTAGGGCAAGTTTAGCTGATACCATAACAAAGTTAATTAATTAATTAATTTTTTTAGTTTTTGAAGATTTTAGTTATTTATCTGAGAGAGAGAGAGAGCATGAGCAGAGTGAGGAGCAGAGAGAGAAGCAGCCTCCCCGCTAAGCAGGGAGCCCGATGTGGGACTTGATCCCAAGACTCGGGGATCATGACCTGAGCTGAAGGCCTATGCTTAACAGACAGAGCCACCCAGGCGCCCCTCACATAATTTATTTTTATGGCTAAATGACTTAAACTTGTAACATCAGGAATGGACAGAAGGTCAGCACTGATAAGAACTTGCCCTTTGCCAGATCTTGCCTGTTGTCATTAATGCTGCGTTCTCTTTGTTCCGTGACTAACTTCAAGTAGCACAGGGAGATATATATGTATTATTAGTTAATACTAACATTTATATATATCCCACATATAAGTAAGTAATTGTATATAACATATATATATTATTTATGTTTATGTTAATTTGTATATATTTGTAGATCCATAATGTGGCCCATCTACACACACGCACACGCACACACACACATCTCGGTTATTCTAAGTGCGATTTAAGGCAACTTTGTGCAGGTGTCTCGAGCATTGTCAGGTAACACAGGACACAGGACAGACACACAGGGAGGAAATGTGTTTTGCTGTGTCCCCTCACAGTGTGTGTGTCTTCCTGTGACCCACCAGGCCCCCATCCGTTGCCTTGGTTCATCTCTGAGACGGACCCTTCATGGAAAAATTACTAATTAGGATCGTGTCATTGGAGAAGCTGTTAAGGACTGTGGACTCATTGTGACTATTTTGTGGCGATGTCTTTATAGAATTGTTCCCGTCCATCATTTCACGACATGCTTCCTGCACAATTCCTTTCAATCTGCTGGAGCCGTGAGCTGCCTTGACTATCCATCCCAAAGCTCTCTTGAATTGGCCCCGATCCCTCCGGAGTCTGCAGATTTCCAGTGTCTGACTGAATGTGGAAGAGAATTCTGAGTGCCTTTCAAGCATAATTGGTTCTGTGATCGCCCCTCATGAGTTTAATCTGTTTTAAAACCTAGACCGTAGAATCCCCTTGGGTGGATTTCAGGGTGCCCCGTTCTCACCGGGACCATCAGAGGACTTCTTTTTGAAAGAGCAAACTCCCTTTTTTACTTGGCAGAGACTGCATTCCATGTTTTAGAATAATGCCTTTGCTCTCCACAGGGAGTCATCAATATTTATTGTTATTTGTCAGCGAGGAGCCTTGCATGGAGGTGGAGGGGATCTGATTAGGACGCTCACCTGCCACCTCCTTACCGGGGACTATACAGCGACCATCTCGCTAAATTAATTTGTTTTTTAAGTCCTCATCTGGGGGTCTCTGGGGGGCTCCGTAGGTGAACCATCTGCCTTCGGCTCAGGTCGTGGTCCCGGGGTGCTGGGATCGAGTCCTGCATTGGGCTCCCTGCTCAGTAGGGAGCCTGCATCTCCTTCTGCCTCGGTTACTCCCCCTGTTTGTGCTCTTTCTCTCTCTCAAATAAACAGAAAATCTTAAAAAAGAAAAAAATAAAGTCCACATCTGACCAGGTCACTAACATTGCCTAAACAAGAAACCCCAAGGTTCTAAGCCAGGCCCCCTTGAGTCGGGCATGTGTTGCCCTGTGAAGCTCTCCAAGTCCTCCCCCTCGATGCCCCTCGACATTTGATTCTGGTGATCTGCTCAGTCGGGGCCTCTGGCGGGACTGATCTCCTGCCCTCCAGCATCCACCGTGTGCTGCTCCCCACCTCCCAGGGCCCCCCCATGCCTTCTCAGCCTTCTTGTCGTGGCCTTTCTCTCTCTGCTCCAGTGTGGCTTTCTAGTGTTTATGTGTCACTGTGTTGTGCCTGACCATCCGCTCCATCGCATGTGGACTACCATGCACTGGTATTGAATCATGTGCAGATGGGAAGACGCCGCCCCCAGCACCTGGGAGAGTTAGTGCCTGTCGCCCCCATTCCCCCACCATCCCCCCCCGACCCGGGCCAGCAGCGTCCACGAGCAGGTGCAGCCACCTCCTCCAGGCTGTCTGCTGGGCTTGCTGAGGTCCTGAACTTCGTCCGCTGCTGGCCTTTGGTTGTCTGCTGAGAACCCACGTCTCCATGAGAATCTGAGCCCTGGCTGAACACCAGGCAGCCCGGGGGCGTTTGGGACCATTTTTCCCTCTTCTTTCCAGTCTGGAGCTGACCTGGCCTTGTGCGCCCGAGGTGCTGGCTGGGTGCGAGCGGGCAGGTGGCCCGGGGAGCATTTCTCTGCTGCCGTTGGGCATTTGGACTATCTGGTGCCCGGGCGTCTCCTTCCTCTGTCATGGAGATGCTGGTTTTGTGCTAGTCAGCTGGAAGGGGGTGCGGTGGCGCATTTCAGAGCCCCATGTGTTGGGCTGTGAGGTGGCCAATGAGAAGTGACCTCGGGCCACTGTCCCGCACCCACTGTAAACAGATACACTTTCCTGCCTCTTCCCCACCCGGAACCCTGAGATCAGAAACTCAGGGGATGAGCCTGAGGGGGGACCCGTAAAGCTTCTCAGGTGCTCCCAGTGAGGACAGGGTCAGAACTGCTGATCGGGGGACCTGGGCATGGGTCTCAGAGACAGGGAGGAAGAAGGGCTCTCCCGTCTTTGAATCAGAAAAGGCCAGCGGAAGGCCAGGCCAGCGGAAGGGTCCAGGGACATGCCTGAAGCCAGAAAAGGGGTAAGAAACCACCACGCTGAAAAGTGTGAATTTGGATGACTTTTCACAAACTGAAGGGAGAGCAAACACTGTCACTGCCTTCGTGACCTGTTCCATTAGCCACTCTGGACATAACCACTGTTCTTGTTTTTTTGTTTTTTAAACACGTTAAAAACCATTATGTTTTATTCACTAAACTACATTAAGTTCAGGGGCGCCTGGATGGCTCAGTCAGTTAAGCGGCCAACTCTTGGTTTCAGCTCAGGTTGTGATCTCAGGGTTGTGAGATCGAGCCCCATGTTGGGCTCTGTGTTCAGTGTGACATCTGCTTGAGACTCTCTCTCCCTCTCCTGCTGCCCCTCCCCCCCATATAAATCAATCAATCAATCTTTCTATAAAATACATTAAGTCCACATTTAGCCTAGGTTATACAATTCCAATCCACTGTATAATCCTTATTCCCGATACAGAATATAAATATTACAGAGGATTCCTGTGCTGATATAATGATCTTGGAGTACTGACTTCTGTAATTTCCCACAGATCTTGTTTTTATCTCCAGTGATGTGTTTCTCATGCTTTTGAATGTTGTGTGAATGGTGTCATGTAATACATACTTCCAAGTAGCTAGCTGTATTCTCTTGTCTCTAGGTTGTGTGTTCAATAGATTCTGTATTTGTTCAATGATGATTTTAGGCACAGAAAAAACAACACAGGGAAAGGACCTAGGATGCTGGGAGCTGACAGTGGGTATTTTATTTTAAATGCCCTTTTATCTCAAAATAGTTTAAGACTCATAAGAAATTGCAGAATTCATACAGAGTCCCTGTGCAGCCTTCCCTCAGCTTCTCCCAATGATACCATGATAATTTGGTTGTATATTACACGACAATATCACCTGGGCAAAACCAGGAAGTTGATTTTGGTACAGCCTTAACTCGGTGGTCTGTACCCATTTAATGATTAAAATGTTGGTATGTTACAGTTTAAGGGGGAAATTGAAATTGCTTTAAGGTCAAAATGTGCTAGGTTGAAAATCATAAGGAAGATTAAAAAGGGAGCTGCTCAGATTTAGAGCAAATAAATTTGAATTGAAAATTAAACTGGTATTCACCTGACAAACACTTATTAAGTGTCTCATGCACGGTTTGTGCAAAGTACTTGCTATACAGTCCTCTTACAATGTGTTCTATGTAACCATAACTTTTGTTACAGTTAATCTTGTGATACATTGTTTTTCTACCTCGCACAGAAGTCTGGCAGATTTTATTATTCATAAAATTGAAAAGTACATCTAGTTGGGCATCTGTCCACTTCAGTGTCGTTTTAAAAATTTTTTAATTTTTTATTTTTTTAAAAGATTTTATTTATTTATTTGACAGAGAGAGAGATCACAAGTAGGCAGAGAGGCAAGCAGAGACGGGGGGAAGCAGGCTCCCCACCGAGCCGAGAGCTGGATGCAGAACTTGATCCCAGAACCCTGAGATCATGACCTGAGCTGAGGCCAGAGGCTTTAACCCACTGAGCCACCCAAGCGCCCTTTTGCCGTCTTTTCCTTCACATTGGGGGATGAATGTGGTCCCTTGCTTATTATTTTTTCTTAAATATATTATTTATTTATTTGCGAGAGAGAGTACAAATCCAAGGGAGAGGGAGAGAGAAAATCTGAAGCAGACCCTGCCCTGAACACAGAGCCTGACATGGGGCTTGAACTCACAACCACGAGAGCATGACCTGAGCTGAAACCAAGAGTCATCTGCTTCACCAGCTGACCCACCCAGGCACCCTGGACTCTCGCTCATGATTAATCACAGTGGCGGAAGTAGGGTGTGTGGACCAGAGCTGACAGTGTGGCTCAAGGCCACGTCTGTTTCAACGAGTCTCTGAACTTTCTGTCTCTCTTGACTCTTCCCCTTCTAGGTTGTGCTTGTGAATTAACTCTGACTTCATCTTTCCAGGGGTCAGTCTGTTATTCAAGGCACAGTCACATCTTCCAAGGACATAGACGTGGAAAAAGAGCAAATAAGAGTGTTGAAAGGAAGAACTAGTGAAGACCTTCTCGTGCTATACAACCTTAGTAAAAGCTACGGAAGCTTCTTCAAGAGGACCACTGCTGTGCAAGATATTAGTTTGGGCATACGGAGAGGAGAGGTAAGGACCTTCTGTTTGTGATCCTCTCTGTTACAAACCCGTGTATCTCTAACTGTGCACCTGCTTGTGGTAGGCTCACAGTGTCTGCGATTAGAGCCAAGAGTTTTCAGATTTCTGACATTTCTGCAAAAATCACTAGACACAGAATCTGAGTAGAGAGTCTATAGACTCCTCCCCTGGGGAAAACTTTGCTGACTGATGGATGGGGGTTTATCGTTTCATAGTTTTAAATATTTCATACGTTTGAAGAGTTTTAGTCATTGCTTGGGCTATAGGATGACATTTTATTGAGGGAAATATTTTATCAATCCAATTAATTTAGGGAACCTCTTCTAACTCTTACTTGGAAATCCACACTTTTTAACTGGCAAGTTAAGCCCATCTAGTAAAACGCTCCCTGGGGAGGAAAAGAGTACTGACACCAAAGCCAGAGTTTAGATTTTTTTTTTTTTTTTTTTTTTTTTTTTTTGGTGTGGATATAGCATCAATTCTTATAGAAATGTTTAATCAGAACTGATGGAAGCCATGCAAATTGTTCCTGATTTGTGCTTAATTGCCTCAAGAGAAATCAACTCTGAAAGTGATTACCGTTAATTAACCATGAAAAATAAGAGGTTCCTTGCATTCCTGTTGTGCCCAGCTCCTGAGAACCTTGAGGCAGGTTACTGGCTTATGGGATGGGCAGGCATGCTGCCCTGTGGCAGAGAGCAGGTGTTTCAGAGAGGAGAATTCCGAGGGCAAGAGAAGCCTGGGGACCAATCCAAGTTGATCCAGGAGTATCCTCATGTGCTGTCTGTCCTGTGGTTTGTGGCTGATGAGGACAGTATGCTAAGGAGGGTGTTTTGGTAGCCACTCAGCCCAAAGACTAACTCTGCAACCTTCGGCAGCATACTGAACTATTTGTTTTACTTCCACTTCAAAAATCATTTTTTTAGTTTTGCTGCTACCTGTTGGGGTACTTTTAAGCTGAAGAGTAAGAGGAAACCTTGGAATGCTTCATAAAGGAGATGCTCCAGGGATCTGAAACGGAAGGCCGTGATCACGTAGCATGTTAGGTACCCCCACGCGTGCTGCCCCAAATCACATGGGCGGTACTGCCTTGGAGCCGTCTGCCCGGAAACGGCAGCTGGGTCCATGCGTGAGATGGTGGGAGGGATCCCGTCGAGTTCGGGGGGAGCACGGCTATGAAAGCAGATGGGAGTTCAAGGAAGCACCTCTCATCCAGAGGTCCCAAATAGGGCCCTGTGGTTTCTAGGCAGGGCCGGTGCCAGGAAAGCCGGAATAGGCACTTTCCTGAGATTCAAGGGGCAGGGAAGTCACCTGAGGTCAGTAGACAGAAAGCCAGCTGATGCCCCCAGAAAACAGAGGTCTTGAAGGAAATTTTAAGAACCACACAGACTCAGGCTCTGCCATAGAACCTGTAGCTATGGATGTACTGAGAGATAAAGCCTAGGTCTAGAAAAGATGGCAAGAAAGCCATTTGTCCCATGGGATATAAGACAACATTGACCCACCGCCCCACCCCCTGCCCAATGCCGTCTTGATGCTGATGTCAGAGTTTAGAACTGACAGTTCTCTTCTTAACTCATGTCAGGAGCAGCCTAGAGTCTGACTTGGGGGTGGGGAGAAGGGGAGGGAGAGCAGAGAGGATATTTTAACGTACATTATTTATGTTTTGAAGATTTTATTTGCTTATTTATTGGAGAGAGAGAGAGAGCAAGTGTTGGGGGGGTGCAGAGAGAGAGAGAGAATCGTAAGCAGACCTCACACTGAGCATGGAGTCCGATTCAGGGCTCGATCTCACAACCGGAGATCAGGACCTGAGCCGAAACCAAGATTCAGACATTTAACTGACTGAGCCCCTAACCACGCCCCCGGATGTACTTTAATCTATGAAGCAGCATCAAGGGGATAATGAGTACAATGAAGTGAGTTTCAAAAACTCATTCTCCACACAGGGACACAGTCAGGACCTTATTGGAACGGCCCCACAGCAGATGGTTAATCTCAGCACTATCCTGGGGGTGGGGACTCACCCGTCACCCTCTGCAGTGCTCCTTACACAGATTCACTCTTCCTGGGCGATTGTTGATACGGTCACCTTGCTCAGACCCCAGAGTGCTTTGTGCAATCGTGTGCATTTAAAGTTCTACGAGTAGCAGAAGCCGGAAAAGTCGGGTCCGAGCCATCTGGCTGTCTGTGGTGACTTAGCTGTTCCTCACCTGCGTCTTCTCTCCATGTAGTGCTTTGGGCTCCTGGGGCCCAACGGGGCCGGGAAGAGCACCACATTCAAGATGCTGAACGGGGACACCCCTCCGACCTCAGGACGTGCCGTCGCCAGGACTCCCACAGGGTAAATGCAGATGCGGTCATTCTTGCTGCCTGGGGACAGCCCTCATCCCCTCAGTCCTATGCCCGGAGTCTGAGACACACTTCCCTCAAGATTTACCCTCCAGTTAGCTGCCAGGAGCCTCTCCTCAGATAGGGAGGAACTTCCAGGGCCAATGAGATAAGCTGCCCACATCTGGCCACAGGGTCAAGGACAGGTCCGCAGAAGGCAATCAGGGCTGACCTCTTTGGTGGCCCCATGGGCTTGAGGTGTCTGGTTGCTGATGTGGGTGAGCGGGAAATGGCCAGAGGGTGGCCCTTCTTGCTTCACCGACAGATCCAGCTTCAAACACCCCCACCTATGGGACAGTGGCCCCAGGGGGCGACATTGATTCTCTCGTTCGCCACCCAGACCCCTCTTTCAGGTGGTTGACAGCTTTGGGTTGGAGTGAGTAGCCACATGAGAACCCAGATGGTGGCATCTGGAGGAGCAGGGGGAACACCTATTTTCCTTGCTGCAAAGACCGTGCAAGATGCTGGGTGTTGTGCATGCCACAGGCTGCCCGAGGCCACTGGGTCCCATGGGGGCTCTATGGGCAACCCCACAGGACAGTTTTACCTCCAGGCATCCTCTGATTCCTTCTGAACTGCACTGCGACTTGGGGATCGTCCCCAGGGGTGTGGGCACCATCAGGTGTGATCATCCAGTCGGATAAAAGGCCCACTTCTCTGTCTCTGCCTGGTCTGAACCATTAGAGGTTCTCGTCTCTCCTAAGAAGGAGGCTCCTGGTTCTAACCCTCTCTGGAGGCAGGATGGGCTACTTGCTTCTTGCTCTGAATTTGCCCAAGGAGCCAACTTGCCCTGGTCGCACTAACTAAAATCTCCACTTGCAAGCTTAGGGCTCTTTCCGGACGAGCCCTCCACGTGCCGTCACATGCGTCCCAATACAAACGTTTTCATGGCCCCATCTCTGCACACTTTTTCCTTTCCATACCAATTACAAGGCCCCTGGTATATATCTTTCTTTTCTACTGCAGCAAATTGATTGCTAATTGACAATGATGATAATAGATTTCACACGTCTGTTGCTCAACTTATATAAGGAAAACCACATCCTCGGATGGTCCTTCTATAAGCAGCTCCCGTCTGAGCACCCTGGTTGATTTCACAGCCTGTCTGCCTGGGTCGCAGAGTCTCTCCTGAGCATGCTTGGAAATCATGCACCTGAGATTTATATATACGGGTTCAAATAGAATAATTGAAAAAAAGTTGTTCAAAAATATGAAAATCACCCATGAATTGGCTAATTCTTTGCATCGACAAATACTTCCTGTCCTATGATGTGCCTGGCACTGGGAGGTTTTCTTGGACTCCTAAAGCTCAGTGTTAACATTTACATGTCTCCTGCTAGTGTAATTTAGACATGCATTCATCTCTGTGTGTATTTATCTATTTTTGGAAAGAGTTTATTTATTTGCGAGAGAGAGAGTGCAAGGAGAGGGAGCAGCAGAGAGAGAAGCAGACTCTCCACTGAGCAAGGAGCCCGACTCAGAACTCGATCCCAGAACCCCAGGCTCATGACATGAGCCGAAGGCTGATGTTTAACCGACTGAGCCACCCAGGCGCCCCTATATCTAATTTTATCTATTATCTCTATGGGAAGTATGGGTGGTTAAATGTATTTCTGTGGAGAGATTCACATGTTAAAATCAGACAACCATATAAAGATCATTATTTGGTATTCTTCCTTTACCTTATTCCATAAGCATCTCCCAATCCCCTTCAATAATAGTTATTGTTTTTATTTTTTACAGATCGGGTGGGCATGAAATCTCATTGTTAAATTAGTTTGCACTTCCTTGATTATTCATGAACGCGAGTGTTTTTCCCACAGTTATTTGTCTGGTAGTTTTCTTTCCTGCCAATCGCCTGTCATGCCCTTTGCCCTTTTCTCTATGAGGTTGTCTGTCTTTTTGTTACGCATTAATGTAAGAGTTTTTCATACATTCAACCAGAAACTAATCTTTTTTTAATTTTCATTTTTATTATTTTTAAAATTCTTATTTTTAAAATTTCATTTACATCCAAGTTAGTTAACATGCAGTGTAGTGTTGGTTTCAGGAGTAGAATTTAGGGGTTCATCACTTACATGCAACACCCCGTGCTCATCCCAACAGGTGCCTCCTTAACGCCCACTCCCAGGGCCCCCCTCCCTCCAGCAACCCTCAGTTTGTTCTCTGTGCTTAAGAGTGTCTTATGGGCTGTCTCCCTCTGTTTTCATCTTAGTTTAGTTTTCCTCCCCTTCCCCTATGTTCATTTGTTTTGTCTCTTAACTTCCCCATATGAGTGAAATGATATTTGACTTTCTCTGACTTGTTTCACTTCACATATTACCGTCTAGTTCTATCCTTGTCATTGCAAGTGGCAAGATTTCATTCTTTTTGATGGCTGAGCTGCATTTCACTGTGTGTGTGTGTGTGGGTGTACATCACACATCTACACCGTGTGCATATACACACACCCCATCTTTATCCATTCATCACTTGATAGGCATAATTTGGCTGTTGTGGACATTGCTGCTGTAAACATTAGGGTGCGTGTGCCCCTTCAGATCAGTATTTCTGTATCCTTTGGGTAAATACCTCGTAGTGCAATTGCTGGATGGTAGGGTAGCTCTGTTTGTAGCTTTTTAAGGAACATCCTGACTGTTTTCCAGAGTGGCTGCACCAGCTGGCATGCCCACCAACTGGAAACTAGTCTTTTGCATGTTTTATGTGTTTTAAGAATTATCTTTCTTTGGTACCTTGAATTTTAACTTTATTTTATAAGTTTGTATGTGTAGATGTTTGCAGTTTTGACGAAGCCAATTTAATGTGGTTTTTTGTTTCCTTGGTATTTCTTATTCTTTGAATCTTAAGAAATTCTTCTCTTTCTGAGGTCAAAAACCTTAACATTGTCTTTAATTAATAGGGAGTTTATAGTTAGAGACACTGTGTGATAGAAATAGAATTTGATGTTTTTTAAAATAGGTGTTTATTTATTTTGTTATTTTTAGAGAGAGTGAGAGAGAGAGTGGGGGGCGGGGAGGAGCAGAGGGAGAGAGAGAATCCCAAGCAGACTCCATGCTCAGCTCAGCACCGAGCCCCCCGTGGGGCTCAATCCCACAACCCTGAGATCAGGACCGGAGCCGAAATCAAGAGTCTAAGTTCCGCTGACGGACACACCCAGACGCCCCTTGATGTTTTTTCTGTTCTGAGCTCTCGTTTGCTTAATGCCACTTCCTCACCAAGGTGTCTTTGTGTCCATCAAAAAGTGCTTCTGTAATAGCAAGTCCTCGGACAGGCTGGGCTCTCGGCCCTGGTTTCTTTTGCTTCGTGTTTCCTTCCAGGTGGCTACATTGCCTGCCTGTCTTCCGGGTTCTTGATTTTCGGTATTGTTTGAACTCTTCTGGACCTTTATAATATATTATTTTTTGGATACTTTTACCACTCTCTATAAAAATGTCACAATATTTACATCTTATTTGGGATTGCAACACATTTTTATACTATAATTTGAGGAAATTGAGGTCTTGATGAAATTCTTTTTGCTTTTTCCATGACTGTGGTATATATGGACATTTATTTGGGTCATTTAAAAAATAGCATTTATTTATTTTTAAAAGATTTTATGTATTTATTTATTTGAATTTATTTGGGGGGGGGAGCATGAATGGGGAGGGGCAGAGGAGGAGGGAGAAGCAGGCTTCCTACTGAGCAGGGAGCCTGATGTGGGGTTCAATCCCAGGACCCTGAGATCATGACCTGAGCCGAAGGCAGACGCTTCACCAACTGAGACATCTAGGTGTCCGTAAAAAATATCATTTAATTACATTTCAGACTTTTCTTTACAAATTCCTTGCATATCTTTTTTAGATTTATTCATCCAGATGAATTTGTCTCCCATCAGGAAGCATTTAATTTGTTTTAATTTTTTCTTCGATTTTCTCATGGCTTGGGACTTGGCTAGCTGACGTCACAAGGGAATGTGTTTGTGTGTTTGGCGTTTGCTCTCTCTTTTCCTGTGTGACACCTTCTGTCAGCTGGGTGGTTCCTTCTCGTGATTCTCTGACTCTCGCATGCAGAACCAGGTCTTGTGTTGAAGACTTTAGGGTCCCCGCTTGCAGCCATAGGGAAACTATCCCATTTTTAGTCACGGCACGGCTTCGCCCGGGTGCTGACCTGCTGAGCGGCCTGGAGGATGAGCAGCCTTCTTGTGCCCCAGGTTCCCAGCCCGCTTCTCTCAGCCTCTTTCAGGAGGGGTGAGGCTGTGCTGTAGACCCAGTTACCATGCTGGACCTGGTTCTGGTCCCTCGTCATCACACAGAGGTGTGTTCAGTCCCCGTTACGTCCCCATTATGAGAGTGTTCAGCCTTGCAGGGTCCAGACCTCCAGATGCTTTATGCAACTCGGAGCCAAAGCCCAGCAGGCAGTGGCTTGAGATCCTGGTCTCCCTTCCTCGTTTTTTCTGATGCCTGGAGATGTTCAAGTGTGTTTTTCTTTTCTAGACACTAATTACACAACATGAACAAAGCAAATAAAATCTAGTCATCATTTTTTGCGTGTACAGAAAGACATGTAAAGCATTGTGCCCACAATTTCCACTGAGATTTTAATCGATTTTATGCTGCATTTATAGATTAATTTGGAAAACACTGAGATTTTTATTCTGTGTCTTCTCTTCTGCAAACCTTGCACTATCCAAGAACTCTCAAAGTACTATGAAATGGTAGTATATCTATTGTTCACTTGAGTAGTAGTAGTTCTGTGGTGGTTTGAAACCCACGTGCATATTGTGTGTCTTGTTAGTATTATTCTGCAATTTTATTTAAAGTTCTTTAAGGCAAATATTAAATTTATCATTTCAACATTCATACAGATGAACCTGTTGTAGTTCTTTTTCTTTTGACATATTTATGTAATTAAGGAAAGATTTTTGATTACTGAGCTCTCCTACCTTTCTGCAGTAAACTGAATTTTGTCACA